TATTATTCCCTATTAATATTCTAGCTATATATTATAATATTATATTTTTAAGTATATAGTAACTTTAACGGCTATAGAGGCAAACCTATAAATCTGGCATATAAAAAGGCAGTATATAGAGAGAAGAATATAGAGATAAATTACACTATATAGTTTAGGCTATAAGTTTGCAGCCATTATAATAGGCATTATAGTGACCTAGTTACTAATAGTGAGATCTGAATAATAATGGAGATTTAATATTATACCTCTATAGCACTTAATGCAATAGGATGCGTTATGTTTTAGGCAAACCTGTATTAAGTTTGTATTAAATCCTTATTTCTTTTAAATTAACTCTATACCCTGGTAAAAATCAACCCTATTAGGTTTAAAGTGGGTTAATAAAATTAACTCTACTAGAGTTGATTTAGTTATTAGTTATTAGTGAGTGAATCCAATCTTAAACATGCAGGGGGAATTGCGCCACGTCAGCCTCACTTATACCCCGCCCGTCACCATGAACGTTTTCACCTTGATCTCTCCGTTTCCCTCCTCAATGCCGACAATAGCGATCTCAATGAGATGATGCATTATTTACTTATGCAAAAAGACAGGCTAAGGCCGATATTATTAGACCCAACCAACCCTCCGCCGTCTCCGCCGCGCCCAAGACCCCTTGCACCGCGTGCATGATCAGTTCATCCACGAAACACGTACCACACGATGAGCCCGAACTTCTTGCGACTACGGTATTTCGAACCGTTCTTCACTTTCGACATGTCTTCTCCTAGCCGGCCGAGATAATAACTCGGTTCTTGGGGCGCGATATTTAGTAAGCGCAGCTTTGAAGGCCAGGTTGACTGTCTCTTGTCATTCTCAGAACGATCAATTTGTTCCCCGCTGACTAGCTTATAACAGACCCCAACGACCGGGCCTAAATTGTCGTTGTGCTTCGACTAGCAAGATTCTATACACCACGATCGAGCCACCACTATAAGTTACCTTCTCAACGCATTTTCAAGCTCACCCTCTTGGCGAATGTTGTCGCCTCGGAATGTCTTCTAGGGCTAAATAATATTTCCTCGGGCTTCTGGCCGGGTCTAGAATAACGCATTCGGTCCCGATAACTCCAGTAACGCGCTGGGTGAGCCAAGTGTAAGTTATTGCGGTTTCATGTATTATCTTGAAGCTAATCTTGAATGGGTCACCATCACGAACCACATCGCCCTGACTAAGTGTACGACGCCCAATGCCTCTTCGGCTGCCCCAAAATTGCACTCGCCCACTTGAGCCCGGTGCTCACCGCTTTGAACGAACGAACCCTATCAGTCAAGACTGATGAGAAGTGAAGGACCTAGGTCTGTAACTTGAGTCTTACCTCGATGGCTCTGTCGATCGCCTCGAGAATTCACTTGTTGGATTTGGTCTCATGATATGTGAGAAATGCGCCAAAGGGTTACAAAGTGCGGCGGATTGCCGAGCATTGGTCCAGCCCTTGAAGAGAGTACTGGGCCTGCGGTCAGTTGAGACGGAGTACCGAGCTGTCCAGACTGCGAGCTTTCATGCTACGATCGGTCTGGGTACAGGATGAATACTCGGCACGCAATGGGATGTCGATGACTCGGTTTGATCAATATATGTCAGACTCGGGATCCTAACTGAATTGCAAGCAGGCAAGGCATGGAGTTGGCTGATCGCCGTAGATTCTTTATGGGTTTGGAAGGATATTCCTGACGCGGAAGCTTTGCGCCGAGACAACAAGGCCTCAACGGCGCCGTGGCGTTATGAAGATGACGATGGTCATGTGTCGTGGAAATGACCGCTACAAACTGTACACTCGGGGCCCAAAGTAAAGCCAGATATCCCGAGATGATGCTTTTGGAGCTCTTCACTTGCAAGCACTTTTCAGCTTAGTCCATCCTGGTTAACGCAGCTTATCGGGTCAGCATGGGCAGTGGCACTGTTGTAGTGGATACTACAATCACGAGCTTAGTGTCGGAGACTATTGAATTATGTAAACCAATCGGCTCCTCGCTGTCCTCACCAAGCGACGATGCGGGGTGTTGTCTAAACTTTAGGGGTCTGTGGGTTTTGCAAAGTTAAGGACATGGGACTTGGTGATCTCGTCAGGAAACAAGTGCCTAGCTGGGTCTTTCATGTAGAAAGTGTTGAGAAAGTATATAATAGAGCAATGGGCCTAGTATGCTCCCTTTTTCGAAATTGTGTTGGGGACTGTTCCCCCCACGAGCCTCGATGTCGATTCGCTGTCGGCAGCATCGCTGGTGATGACTATCGCCGTGTTCCACTGCGTCCACCGTTCTTCGCGGCTCCAAGAATAACTCGAACCTGTGCCGACCTAAATGATGTCCATCCATTCCTTCCAAAAGGATGTCCAAGTGGAGTTGCCAACGTGCCTCTGCTGTTCTGGTATACGCGAGCTGGAGATTGCGATATCGCGAGGCTACCATCTTGCAACCTGCTTGATCAGCCTTGGAAGCTTTAATATCACTAACATTTGCCTTATTTTGCCCTGGATCTCACACCATGACCCAAGATCAATTGCATAGTAGCGCAGGGCTTGAGTATCCATCCGCAGCGCTTGAGTATCTATCCGCAGGATTTTAGGAACCTATCCGCAGTGCTTCAGTATCTATCCACAACGCAACGTGGGTGAAGGGTAGTGAATCTGTAATGGGTCGTGCCAAAGAAAGGCCAAGTTGTGTTCAATGTCAGCTAGAGTTCTCAATGGTCATGTTCTATGGTCACTTAAATCAATACATTTTATTCAGTCATTAGCTCTTAGCCCAATTCTGATTTGACTGGCATACAAGAAGATCAACTGGCCACATGACCCTAGATGAAATCGAAACCTCATGAACTCTGAGCCTCCATAACACCCAACATCTTCATAGAAGCACCAACACCTTGATCAACTTCCTTGAGTAACAACCGCCTGTGTGAGCAACGAGCGACCGAACTAAGTACATGGACTCAGCCGGTGCTCTGACCCTGATCCAAATTCAAGCTTCCACACCGAGGACTCCATTATTCGCCTCCAGCATGCTTGGGGCCTCTTGAGGCAAACTTCATCTCATCGCACGTAAGAAATGTAACCAAAGGTTGATCGAGGGGCGGCTGATTAGTGTGGGGCTGCGTTACGCTCGCCAACCCAACTCAAGTTGAGACGAGTCATCAGGCTATGCAGCTCTTCGCGGATTCTGGTATCATGGCTGCTCTGGCACAGGCCGGCGACTGATTTGCAATGAGCAATCAACTTGTCTACAAAGCTCATTGCTCTATTTCGTTCTGGCAAGCATATATGGTCTCAGTGGCGACTTCATACGTTTGAAAGCGGCAGTTAAATTCTACCAATATGGACTTTTAACGGTCTCGGAGATAGCACGAAGAGATGTAGTGACGGTAGTCTGTGCCTAGAAAGCAACCAATGCAAAATGTAGCTTTATGTCAATACTCGATCTGACTTGTGTGGTGTCCCTTGATATATATATGTCAATTCGGACAGAAAGTATTCCTGTCTCTCATCATGCTCTTTTCTTTAATAGAGTCAGAAGTTCACTGGGTCCGAACTATTTCTCTGGCGACTGTCAATCGCAATCACTCCATCAACATAAGGCATCGTCAGCGACACTCAATTACTTGCTTAATAAAGGGTAGCTGCCGCTAAAGCCATGCTTCCAGTACATAGGCAGTAATCTACGTAAATGCTCAGATCTAATTTACGGCAGAAGAAAGAAATAAAATTCCCTTATATGGTGCTTTGACATTTCCTTGGAAATACTTTTCCACCCCAACCACCGCTTTCAAGAATCCCAAAGCAATCGATGCTTTGAAGAACCAGCTAGAGAGAATGACCGAGCAGATTCCCGGGGTGGAGCATCTCATCCGCTAGACTCTTTAGTACACAAAATTTGTTTTCCTCGGGTTAGGTTTTAGAAAGCTGCGGCGCTTCAAAAGTTTCCTCCTGATTCGTTTGAGTTTCGATTGTGGCTCTTGGCAGAGCAGTCTTGTTGAGACTCCCAGCAGCGGAAGAGAGAGCTTGATATGTTAAGTAGCCGCACGACCCTTGGAATTGAGGAGGGTTTCAACACAGTACATAGCTTGGGAGCTACTCGCCATGTTTAGGGGGCGG